CTTATTGAGTTGTAATTACCTCTGAAATTCCCCACCTCCAAATACCGTCACCCTGGGGATTATCAGAGTTTCAACATACACATTTTGAGGGGACACAAACAACCGAATAATAAAAAGAAAAATGACCCACAAATGTTGGCGGTGAAGATGTAGACGAAGTGGGCCCCTCACGCGTTGCCAGCGGGAATGCAAAAGGGTGCAGCCACCAAACCGGTCCTCAAAAAGTTAAACAGAGGGTCACCGGCAATTCCACTCCTAAGTATATAGAATCTAGTTTATATATAAATCTACCGTTAGGGAAGTGAAAACCCCCCACCACAAATACTTACAGCAGCATTATTTATAACAGCCGGAAGGGGGAAGCAACTCACGCGTCCACTAACTGATGGATGGAGCAATAAAATCTGGCCTCGCCGACGACAGAGTAGTAGTTGGCAATAAGAACAAATGGAGCACCGACACACGGGGGGACGCCGGCGCGCACGCCAACCGAAAGAAGCCCGAGCAGAAGGCCACACGGCGTATTGTCGTGCTCACTGGCACATCCAGAACAGGCGGACGGATTAGCCACCGAGAGCCCACGACAGTGGCCGGGAATGGAGGAGGCCGGTGTGGAGCTGCCCAGTAAGGGCACGGAGTTTCTTTCGGGATGGACGTGTCCTGCAGTTCACCGTGGTGGTGGCCGCGCGACTCCGTCGATGTGCTGAGAGCCCCCGCACGGTGCCCGGAGGTGGGCGGCTTCTAGCCCGAGGCCCCAGCTCTGCAGGCAGAGCCTGTGCTCCCCGAGTCCGCGTCCGTGGCTTCGGAGCCCAGGGCCGACGGGGTTACTCCTGCGCTCCTTCCTGCGTCCTCGCGGCAGCCTTCCGAGGTGCCGCCGGCCCATTTCATAGATGAGGAAACTGAGGTTTGGGGAGATGAGCCCCGGGGGGAGCAGAACGCTGGCAGGGCTTCGGCCAGGCTTTGTCACCCTTGGTCAGGCTCTGCGAGTTGCAGCCTCCTTCGAGGTTGGGGACTGTGGAAAGGACCCCCCACGCCCCCTCCGGCCATGTCATGTGGTGACTGTGTGGTGTGAGGTAATGGGGTCCCCCGCCTCCGCCAGCTGGGTGGGGAGGACCTTTCACTGGGACCAGGAGTGTGTCCTGCGGCAGGTGTGGGGCCGGCTGACCTCAGCCGGTACCGGGCAGCGTCGTACCAGGCGGTGCGGTATCAGGCACCGCCACCAGGGGGCGCGCCCACCGCCGCTGTGCATTTCCTCATTCTATGGTTTTACTGCTCTCAGTTGGATTATACAAGAAGGGGTATTAGAATTGTGTCAGGACCCAGAGCTCTGGCTGTGAACCGTCCTCCCCTCTACCTCACTTTCCCACGCAAGAAGAGCGGGCTTGACAGCTGCCCCCCAGCCCCACGTGGGCCTTGTGCGGCGCCTGGCACCCTTGGCCCGCCTGGCGCTTGCCTCGACCTCCCCGCCTAGTGCTGGTCACCTCCAGCTAATGCTAGCAGGCTGGGGAGCCCTGGCCCCGAGGTGGACAACAGGCCAGCCCTGCTCTTGGCTCCTTCTGGAACTGGTGGTGGTGAAGGCGGGCACGGCCCCCAGTACAGCACACCAGGCTGAGGGGCTCTGTGAGGGGCTGTTCACCCTCTGTGGGTTTGACTGGTTCATACTGCTGGAGCGGATAGCTGGACGGGCAAGCGGACATGTCTACAAATGCGTCTCCTTCTCCCCAAGGGCGCTAATTTCCTGGGCCCCCCCCAACCAGTGGCCGGGAGCATCCAGTCTTTCCCCAGCGTTGGTGTGTCCTGGGCCAGGTTCTGTGCGTCTGGCCGCAAGCGAGGCCTCCGGTGGCGGAGCGCGGCCAGCAGAGGGCGCTAGAATCCTGCGGTCACAGGAGTGAGACCCAGCGGCGTCCAGCCCCTCTCGGTGTGACAAGCTCCTGGGCCAGCTGTCAGGTGGGATCCCAGGCAGCAGAGGCAAGACCCGGGGACCTGCGCCTTAGCAAATCGAGGGGAGGCAGTTCTGCACACGGGATTGAGAACTTCTGGGTGGTGGTGCCGGGCGGGAGCCGGGCCTCCCGGTTCCCCTCGCCCCCCGCCGCTCTGCCACCCAACCTGAGGGTCCCCTTCCCCAGGACGGGGACTGTCGTTTCCCTCTGCTCCTCTGAGGTTACTGGTTCGGGAGGCTATGGGGAGGAGCTGGGCCTATAAGCAAATGCACTTCCCTTCCCCGGGGGGGGCCTCTGACCACAGGGCCGTGGGGCCTTGAGGAAGGGGAGGCGGGGGCCAGCTGGCTGAGGGTGAGGCCAGAGTGGGTTCCAGCCTCTGCAGCCGAAGGTCTCCCGGTGGTGCTTGGGGGGGAGCAGCAGGTCTGGTGGTTGAGGGCAGATGCTGGGCCCAGGGGAGGTGACCGGCCAAGACTCGGAAGTCTCACCTCCGCCTCTTCCAGCACCGGCTGCATTCTCCTCAAAGAAACACTTCCGGGCCAATTCATTTTTCTCAAAACATACACTTTATCACTCCTCTCCGTACATCTTTGAGCACCTTTGCCAGAATTTCAGGAATGTGGAGATTCCCCCCTCTCGATCCCCCTACCCTCCCTAGGCCTTGGCGACAAGGTCCCTCACAGCCTGTGCGATGGCGTCCCTGTCGATGCCAAACATCTTCAGCAGCTCGGCCGGCTTCCCGCTCCTCGGGACCTCGCCCACAGCGAGGCGGGAGACGGTGATGCCAGGCTCGCCCGCTAAGGCAGAGCACACCGCCTCCCCTATGCCGCCTGCGTAAAGGAAAGGAGACGAGTCAGGAGACGCGGCCTCAGGGTGGGCAGTGGGTGCGGCGTCCTCGGCCCTCTGCCAACCCGAGTTCCTTCCCTTGCCCAAGGAGGGCGGACACAGCACATCCACCACCCTCCCCCGTGCCCATAGCCAGAGCAGACATCATCAATCGATCGTGATACTTATGCGTCCTCCTAAGCCCAAATGTGGCCTCTGAATCATTCTGAACCCCAAGCTCTGGGAAGCTGTCCTGGATGAATGAGCATTTGTACCTGACCCCACAGTCTGAGCCCATCTCTTTCCCCGGATCCTGCCCTGGAGGAGGGGCAGTGTGTGCTTGCGGAGGGCTGCTTTGCGAAGGACCCGTAGAAGACAGAAATTCTGCACAACGGACCGAACGCTCAACTATGTCAGGCACACAAGCGCCTTTCTCCTCTTAGCAGCAAAGTCACGATCCTTCTGGGTTCCCAGGGCAGCAGGGGCTCCAAGGAGCCATGCCAGCAGCCAAGTTTGCTGGGTCCCTGGCCAAGCCCGGGGCCAACAGGAGGCCAGGTGCCAGCTGCCGTCCTGGGGCAGGAGGGAGGAGGGACGTCAAGCCCTCTGCGGCCCTTTGCCTGTGGCCCTGTGCCCCCAGCCCTGCCCTGACCCGTCTGCCCCTGGCTCTCTGGCCCACGGCCTGTTACCTTCGTAGTAATGGTCCTCCACGGTGAGGATCTTGCCTTTGGTAGCATGGGCACTTTCAAGAATGAGATTCCTGTCCAGGGGCTTGATGGTGAAGGGGTCCAACACACGGATGCTGATCTTCTCTGTGAGAGGAGAAAACACAGGGGCGTGGCTGAGGGGGAGGCGCTGGGTGCCGTGGGGGTGTCCCAAGAGTTGTCACACAGTTAAAAGCCTGGGCCTATCCCTATCCTGGGGAGACCAGCTGTCGTTCTGTTCCCATCACCTGGCTGGTGGTGGGCGGCCCCCTCAGTGGCTTGCCCCCTCCCTCTGCTTATCCGTGATGCCCATGTCCTCTAGCATCCTGCACCCACTGATTCTGGAGCGTCTGGTCTCAAAGAGGAGAAATGCCCTTCTCTCTCCCCTCACATCCGGGGCCAGAGGATCTCAGCCTTTGGACCATCAAAGAACACTGCGTGGCCTGGCAGGGGCCCACACAGCTTCACTTCATCTTCCCAGACGCCTTTGAAGATGCAGGGGAAGCCGGAGGACAGTTCCCAGTGTCTGATGTGAGACAGGGCCAGGGGCTCGCCGGAGGAGGGGAGGGGAGCTGCGGCTGCAGGTACAGGGGCCAGGTCGGGCGAGGACCCAGCTGAACGGCCTCAGAAGGACGAGTCCGTCTCTGCCATGCCTCCTCAAGCCCTCCCCGGGGATCTCCGGCCCTGACAGGGCTGGGCCTCCCCTGGCTTCTCTCCAGCTCCCTGGAGCTCTGGACACATGGTTCCTTCTGCCCGGGCCTCTGCTTATCAGTTCCGACTCGCATCTGAGGTCATTTTCCTAAGGACACTCCTGTCTGCCTTCTCCTTCCTGCTCAGCACGGCTACACCGTGGCGGCTGCTGTGACTCTCTGGAGCTCCTACATCCCCTACCGTGTCAGTAGCTGACATTTGTGAGCCTGCAATGCTGATGATAATAATAATAATGCTAGGTCACATGGATTAAATCCTCAGGACAGCCCTCCTGGGAAGGTGACATTATCTCCACTTTATGGATGGGGAAACTGAGGCATGGAGATGCTGAATAATCAGTTCAGGCCTACTGGCAGGCTCTAGGACCGCTGATCGGACCACCGTGCTGGGGCACCTCAACCCCAGGGCCATGGGGCAGGGGCAGGGGCAGGGGCAGGGCCTGTGGCCACCGCAGCCCCAGCTCTCCCCATCACACTGGCCGCACAGTCAAAAGTGCTCAAAAGGTGGCTTCAGTGGGGTGCCTGAGCGGCTCAGTCAGTTAAGCGTCCAACTCTTGATCTCAGAGTCGTGAGTTCAAGCCCTGTGTTGATACAAGGTGCCTTTTATTACGATCAGCATTTAATCGAATGAAATTCCTTCTCACTCCCAAGACCGTGTACGCCGTCGGCGCCTGATCTAAGACTGGCTGGGTTCCCCCTCACCTTTCTTCAGCAGGTCGGCAGCAGCCAAGGCCTCGTGCAGGGTCACTCCGGCCCCGATCACAGTCACCTGGTCATCCTTGCTCTTCAGGACCACCTGGGGAGGACACCGGGGCCAGTGAGGCTCAGGGACTGGTGGCCGGGGGCGGGCCCTGGCTTCAGACGTGCTTTGGGGTCTCACTGGGGCGTGCGCAGGACTGACCTTGGCTTGCTTGACTTGGAAGTCCTCGTTGTTGTTATAGATGATGGTGTTTTCTGGGCGGCTGGTCCGGATGAAGCAGATGCCCTAGAATGAAACACAGTGACAAAGGATGACAGGACGTGGCATGCACGGGCAGCCTTGGGGAGTGGATTCTTTCTAGAAAGGCCACTGCTTCTCACTCGCAAACGTCCACCACGCCAGCGTCCCCACCTCATGCCAGCTACCCCCCCACCCCCGGAAAAGGGACAGTCTTGTCCTCTGTAGCGTGCACCCCCTCCGGACACTCGTCCTGAGGGAGAGCAGCCCCGCGGCTTTGCCAGCCCCAAGCCCCACACGGAAAACGGCTTTTCTTTCAGGTAGGCTGGTCTCTCAGCGGGGCTCATAGTTCCCAGCTCATTCTCTGTCTTGGAGAACCCAACTCCGGGAGCAGATAGGCATCAACAGCCAGACAGACACGGGCTGCCAGGATCCTCATGGGCTCAGTGATCGGTCGGCAACGTCTGCCACGCAGCAGAAAGCGTGGCGTGTGTTTTGTGTTTCCTGGTCTAACTTCCACAAGCCACAGGCACCAGCGGCGAGGTCAGGAGACACCCTGTGGGGCAGTGAACGGCCAGTGCTGCGCCGGCAGGCTGACCCCCAGCCCCACGTCGCGTACGGCCATGTGACCAACCTTTGTATTGGCTGCTAATTCCACCGCCTTCTCTGTAGACACCCCGTCACTTGGGTAAAAGACCGTTGCAGTGGGGATTGACCGAAACATGGCCAGATCTTCCAGAGCCATCTGAGAGGGCCCATCTTCCCCTGGGGTACGGGACAGGACACAGCGGAAGTAAGCCCCTCACCCACGGAATGGAATCCGGCCCGCCCCCACCCACCCAACCTCCTGGTCCAGAAGCCTGGAGAAGTTACAGGTGCAAGCCTCCTGGCCCCGTTCAACTCACCGATGGACACACCGCAGTGCGAACCACAGAAGTTGACGTTGCTCCCAGAGATGGCCGCCATGCGAATCTGATCGAAGGTCCGTGTGAAGAAGGCCCCAAAAGTGCTGCAGAAGGGCACCGTCCTGTTGCGCGTGGCACAGCCCACCGCGACACTGACCTGGGGAGCAGACGGGGACGGCGTCAGCCCCAAAGAGGAGGGAGAGGGTGGCCGGGGAGCCCAGGAGCTCACGCCCCTCCTGAGGGTTGGGGGATTCAGTCATCCTAGGGACTAAATTCTCCTCTTCCCATGCAGGAGATTCCTGTGCATGCATGGATTCCACAGTCTGTCTGATATCAAACTCCTTTGATTTGAAATGACCACTTCAAAAATTCTTTAAAATTATATTCCTGGGGATCGTTTTTTTCCTAGCAAACAAGGAAGGCCTTTCAGAGAGTAGGCTAGGAGGCTCGGACATAGACGTTCCATCCTTCCCAGGCTTCTGCAAACCCTGTCCCCATCGTCCTCGCCAACCCCAGCCCTCTGTGGAGACCAGTCCTCCCTCTGCACTTCTATGCCTGAGGAAGCTCCAGACCCAAATCCCGGCAGGCCGTGGCTCCAAATCAGCTCTGGAACCTGCCACCTGACGTGAGCCACCTGCTGTGGCCTCCCCAGCCCACACACCGTGCCCATTTAGTCTGAACCCTCCAGCTGCCAAGACCAGAAGCCCCAGAGAGACAAGTTCAACTACAGCTGGAGAAGGAACTCTGGATATGGTAGGGCCCGGCGGCCTTCAGAGAGAGGAAGCTCTAGGTGCTAGGGGCCTGCAGGCCAGGCTGGGCTCCTCGGCGAGACGACCATGGCTGCTGGGCCCATTATGTTCCAGCCTTGTGACTGGGGCTCCCCACCACCTGGAAGGCCTTTACCCCAAGAGACAGCCCACTGACCACCACACGTGGCCTACAGACAGCACTTCCGGTGTGCACCTGCAGCCCATTCAGCTCTCCTGTCTGTACACTCATCTAGTACGTCTGCTCCCGAGCATCACACATACATGCCTCTCCCTCGCCGCTGCAGTTACCTGAGGTCAGTGCCGGGTCCTAGCTGTTCCTGGGGTCTCCCCGGGCTTGCCTCCAGCACACACCTGGCATTGCCAACATAGCCCAGAGGAGCAGGAGGACTTCAGCCCTGCCCCACACCCATCGGACCTCAGCCCCAGGCTGTGGCTGGCCCTGTGCCCACCTGCCCACCCCTCGCACCCACCATGTTCTGTTCAGCAATGTAGCACTCAATGAAGCGGTCTGGGTGCTCCTTTCTGAAGATCTCTGAGAAGGTGGAATTCTTGGTGTCCCCATCGAGGGCGATGATGCGGTCGTGGGCACGGCCCAGCTTGGCCAGGGCCTGTCCATAGGCCTTGCGGGTGGCTATCTGTGGGGAGGAGAGCATGGGAAGTGCCCTGAGCACTGGGGTAGGCATGTGGCCTGAAGCCTGGGTCAGCCCCTGGAGGTCACAGCTTTTAGGGAGGAAAAGGATTAAAATAAGGGTAGAAAAGGGAAGTTCAACAACACACAGTCCCGGGGAAATGTAAGTTCTGTAAGGTTGCCAGTGGGAACTTCTACACTGGATGTCTCCGAAGTCCCTAGAGGCCCTGATTCCCAGCCCGGCTGTGAGCCACTGGAGCTGCAGAAGATGTTCTAACACCCCTGTGACAGAGGTCTGAGCTCACCCCACCCTGCACAGGAATACACAGAGGGCCAGGCAGTCCGGAAGCCTGGTGTGGGTTCATATGGGGGAGGGCCCTGGAGCAGGACAGGCCTGCCTAGGCTCTGCTAGGCCAGACACGGGGCAGTCCTGAGCTCAGGCCCAGGGACTCAGGCTACAGGGCCAGAGATAAGGGGATAAGATCAGGTGCTGTGGGCTTTGATCCCAGCGCTGCCAGTAGCTTGCTGTGTGACTGTGGGCCAGTCTCTTGCCCTCTCTGAGCCTCTGCAGGTAAATAATTTCACAGTTGGCTGTCCCCATGGAGGAGATGGCAGGATCAACACCTAGGATTCCTCCTCTCCCTGAACTAATCTCTCCTCTCTCCCTTTCCCAGCCCCCCAGAGACACATCTCGGCCCCAGCCTCAGGGAACCAGAGAATCATGGCCACCCCAGCCAGACCAGAAAAGCAAGGCCCAACTCCGTACCTTCTCCCCAACTTTGTAGCTGGGTGGGCTGGGCATGCGGATGTTGGTGATGTTCACTGAAGGGGCATCCTCTTGTGGAGGAGTCACGAGGATCTTCTTTTTGCTCTGGATCTGGTTGTGTATTTCCTGGACAATCTGATCAGCCATGTTTTTGGGGAGGGGCTTCCCATGCCAAGCCTCCTTATCCTCTATCCCTGCGGGTACAACAGAGGAGGGCAGAGGGCCTGGTAAGACCGTAGCTCCCGAGGACCAGGAAACTGCTCTGTGGGGCTGACTCTCCAACAGTTGAGGGCAAGCCAGGAGGCCTCGGCCAGGGCAGGAATGCTGTGAAGCAGAGCCCTGTGTTGGGTGACCCTGGTCGGGTGACCAGGAGTCTGTGTGCCCGGCACCCACCGAACAGCTGCCAGGTCTCCAGGAGCTGGCTCACAGCCAAGTGCGGGGGCGGGGAGGGGGGCATGCATGAGCCTCCGCACCACCTCCCCACCTGCAGGGAGGGATCTGCTGCAGAAATCCTGCTCGGTTTGTTGAATGGGTCGGTCAAGAGGGAGCCTGGCCGTTAGAGGGGAAGCTGAGGCCCAGAGCAGGGTGAGCACTATCCAGGTCCCCCAGTGCACTGGTGTGCAGCAGAATGGCATCCAGGGGCATCCCTCACCACGCTGCCTTGCTGTGTCGGGACCGGCAAGCCCCCTCCTCTGAGGTCACCTCAGCCCAGGCAGAGCCGAGGACTGACTCTCCCTCATAGCACCCAGCCCCCCTACAGGCCCCCAGGAGCCCCCAGAAGCTTTGAGGTTTCCAGACCCTACTTGGCACTAACACCTGAGGCATCCATGCCAGGTGGTGACAATACCCCAGAGTCCTCTCCTCGACGTGCGCCCCCTCCCTGGAAGGTTCCGGAGCCATGTACCTTCCCCCACACAGCAGTGCATGTCCTCATTTGCCCCAAGTCCACGTGGGCAGGTGGGCCAGAGGGGGGCGTGTGGCACAGAGAAGCTGGGTCTGCAGTTAGGCCCCATGTGCCTGGGCACGTGCCTGACCCCTTCTAGCCATGTTCTCCCATGTGTAACGGGCTAGGGCTGTCTCCGCCCGAGGGGTTTGGAGTCCAAGGGGCCTGCGTGCTGGGCGGCAGCACCATTCTCGGGCCCAGCCAGGAACCACCCTCCAGACCCTTCAGGGCTCTCTCTGCCCAACAGGACCTTGGAAGCCCCTTACCACGGTGCGCAGGGTACCCCGCTTACCTCTTCGGGGAGAACCTGGTCTTCCCAGGTTCTCCGGACTCTGTGTCAGCCCTTCCACTCAGGGCAGACAGCTGGATGCGGTGCAGATGACACCCGAGGAGGGTGTGGGGGACTGTGTCACACCTGTCCTTTCTCCTTACCCGCGGGTCCTCCCGCCCAACCTGGGCTCCAATCCTGGCTCAGCCACGCGGACTGCTGAGTTACCTCATGGGGCACAGCGTCCCCGGCTCCCCCTTCCCCAGCCCAGTGCACCTGGTGTAAGGTGCCAAAGGCCTGGCACTTCCCCAGACATGGGAACTCAGAGACGCACCCCCCAGGGGAAACCCCCACCACCTCGGTTGGCCACAGGGCCCAGTGGCAGGGGTCGGGTGGGGGAGGAAGGGCGTGAGGACGAACCTGGGAGCCCCCGGCCCTTGAAGGTCTTGGCAATGATGGCCGTTGGCTGGTGCTTGGCCTGGCCGAAGGCTTTGCACAGTTCCTCCACGCTGTGTCCGTCCACGATGACGGTGTGCCAGCTACGGACAGATGGGTGAGAGTGAGCGGCAGGGGCCGGGCCCCCGGGAAGGGCTGCCCTCGCTCTGCCACACGGCTGCGGCCTGGGAAACACTAAAGGGGTGCCTGGGGGGCTCAGTCGGTGAAGCATCTGCCTTCAGCTCAGGTCATGATCCCGG